GTAGCTCTTGGATTACAAGTTGATGGAACATTTGCTGTCACTCCCTTGCCCACAGAAGACATAATTACTTAACTATTGCATTTTCTCAAGCCTTGATCAATCACAAACTCACCAATGATTAATCTTAGAAAGTTATGAAACTATTGCAGCTTGTTATCATTTGCCCCTTAGTTATCTTTCATTAATGAATTTCTAATTTTAAGACAGGAAAGAAATCAGAGTTGTAATGTGCACATTAGGTCAATGATAGGCTTTTTAGTTAAACCATTTAAATCTAGTAGAAATATATTTTTTTCTACTAATTTGCCCATAGCTTCTTCTACCCTACTGCACCATAGTAACGGGGTCAAGAATAAACTAAAAAAAGTGTTGTTGGTGTTGAACTTGTAAATTAAAAGTAAAAAAGAATTAAGGATATTTGTTTCTATATAAAGATAGCAAACACAAAGGCATTTAAAGTCAAAGATAGTTATATTTTTCCTACTATTTCTCATGTCTTTCTTGTTGTTTGTGTGCTAAGCTATAATAAGACTTTTCCTATGTAATTAAAATTTGGGGGAACACTGATAGAAATTATAGACAGGAATAGGAACATTATTGTGCACCAAATTCCCAAGTTGGTTTTATTTTTAGTTTCCCTAGACCCAGTGCTAAATTGTGAAAGTGCATTTGTTGTAGTGCATAGATAGGAATTTATATAATTGTTATATTTATTTGAAAGACATCAAAAACACATTTAAATCCTCTCCCTCAATATTTTAAAAACAATTCAGCAATCAAAGAATACTGAAATAGTTGCATTTCTTACTCTGGCTTCAGAATATGATCAGATTGATGTTTCTAATTGTAAAATGAAGATATCTTGCATAGGACAATCATGAAATTTAAAAATTAACACCAAATCCTTATAAAATTCCTACTAGGAACTTTAGTTAACTCTATTTTTACATTTTTAGTACTCTAAATTTTGTAAAGTTTTACAGAACTGATGACTTCTAGTTTTCAGTGACTTAGCAAGGCAACTCAACTGCATCACTCATATATTAGGTTAGTAACAGAATAGTGGTCTTTCCTACATTATCATTTAAAGATCACTACTCTAAATTTCTTTAACCTTTATTCATGCATCAATATAAAATATTTCCTTTCATATTTTGATGAGAGATATAAAATGTTAATCAAAATACTTTTTACTTATGCATACTATAAATGGGAGGGAAGTAAAATGTTTAATATAAAAAAGTAAAGGCTGATGAAATCTGTCTCTTATGATTTACAAGAATCTTTGGAGAACTGTATTTCATACTTTATCTGCATAAATAATCTTGATAGACTACAGTGCCTTTTTAATAAACTGACTCCTAAACTACTTTCCACTGTACCAAACACACATCATTTAGACTCTGTAAGTTTTTCTTCTGTTACCTTGTAGAGTCTAGACAAATTCTCATTAAGGTACTAACTTTCTTTCAATTTTTAGAGCACTATGGGGATTATTTAGTAAGCACGCACAGGGCAAAGATTAAAGTCTTTGCACAAATTACTTGACTCATTTAGGAAGGAAGTGGATGCTTGAACTTCATAAAAATATTGTATATAAAGCAGTGGGATGTACTACTTTTATGCACACTAAAATAATCTAGTTGTTTGTCCCAACTACAGTTGGAAGAACAGGGATTCATAGTGAATGAGGCCAGTGAACTACAGAGTAAAATCTGGCTGGGAGAAAGAAAAAAATGCAAATAAATAGTATATGGTTATATAGAATTGACTTTGGTACACTTGGCTTGGGCCATTTTCTAAAACCTTGATATGGCCAAATTGAGTTAGCTTCTCTTGTAGCATATGATATTTATCATATAAAATTCCATATTTATATGTCTATCCCCACCACATAACCATTTTAAGCAAAAATCGTCTCTTAAACATTCATGGGCCAAATACAGTATTGCTGCCAATATTTGTATTTCTGATACATGAGTAATCAAAATAATATATTTGTGTTGTATACTATTATACATGACAAAAATGTGTTATCTTTCTAGTTCGTTCTGTCTTGCAATTGTAGAAACAGCATCAGATATCATCCAATATATTTTAATAGAATTCATTTAAAAATTTTATCAAAGATGTTGATCATTGTAATCTTTCTAAATAAATGACTCATCTGAAGGATCATGTATGCATATCATAGAAAGTAGTTTAGTTAATATTTACAAAACATAATGGAAAAGACTGCTATATTTATAGTCATAAGGTGATGCTTAGGAAGGCAGTGCATTGGAACAGTGAAATTTCAGTTAACCAGAACATTCTGATGCATCATTTTGGAAATAAGGTAAAGTTATCAATCTCCTTAGCTTACTCTGTGTAAACTCAGTTTATAAAGAGCTCTTCAGCATTGACTGTAGAAGCAAACAACTTCCTTGGGTGTCACCTTTCTGAATTGGCTATTGAACTAAAATCATTGCTAAAGTAGGAAACTAGAATCAATGCTACTTACTCAGCTCTTTACTTGAAGTGAAAACAAACAACTGCCATTTTCTGTATTTGTTGACTATCAAAACCCATTTTCCTCCTACAACCTACCCTATTATAAGATTCTTGTCTCAAATTACATATTGAAAAGTTTATTAGAATAAAGAATATAATGAATAAGAAAAATAATTATACATTCACATATGTACATCTGAAGTACAGGAAGTTACTAATACACATAAACCAAACTGTTGATTATTATATAATAGATAATAAAATTGACTTCCTTCCTTTGCTCTTGAAAGGAATTGCCTTCTTAATGAGACTGACATGACTTGAATGAGGCTTGAAGCTGGGGAGTTCTCATTTTGAATGCATAGAATTTGGATATGTAACAGAAACTGGAAACATTCAGTCCAATTGTAAGAAGTTATGGAGCATTTCTAACACTCTAAATGGGACCTCCACATATTTTTCCATGATAAAAACATCTGCATGTAGTGTTTGGGTACTAGTATACATTCAATTGGTATTAGTATATGCACAATTCTTTCAGTCTACTAAAAATTAAACAGTTTTATGGGCTAAGATAGACACTTATCGAATGTCAGATAGTAAGAAAAAAGAGAAAATCACTTTGAAATAAATTTTGAGAATCTATATGCAGCCTGAAGATTCTATAAATAAATAGTCAGAAAGAAGAGCCCTTTATAAAGATAATCGATCACATTTTGATAAACTAGGTATGGTAGAGAAATCTGTCAAATGCTGATGGTATTTGGGTAGATGTGGATTATTTTCCTTTTAACCTTTTGTCTTCTAGAATAAGTTAGAAAATCAGGCAGGAGTTTAGGACAGAAAGGAAAGAATATGATAATGATATATAGTTGGAAAACTTTGGGCATATATTTAGGTATCTAGGACCATCCATCTAATCTAATCTAATGTACTTTTATAGACAGGAATATGGCTCAGTGGTAGAGTTTTTTCTGTACATACACGAAGTTCTGGGTTTGATTGCCCAGAACTGCAAAAAACAAAAGGACATATTTATATGCAAAATGAATAACCTATTGATTCAGTAAATATTTATTTTGCACTTTTTTTTTTGAGACAAGGTTTAGCCTAGATGTGAGTAATAATGGATAAAAAATAGACTTGAGCTACAGTTTGCATCTTAAACATCCCCAAATGCCATGTATTGGAGGCTTGGTTCTAAGCGAGGTGCTTTTGAGTGATAGTGAAACATTTAAGAGGTGGGGACTACTAGGAGACCTTTAGGCCACTGGGATGGAGTGCCCTCTAGATAGGGATGGTAGGACCCCATCACATTCCCTTCCTCCTTTTTTTGCTTTCATGTCATAAGGTGAGCAATTGTGCTATACAACATGCTTCTGCCATGAGGTTCTGCCTCCCCACAGGCCTAAAGCTATGGTGTCAATCATGGACAAGGATCTCTAAAACTGTGAGCCAAAATTAAAATTATGTCTTTAAAAGCTAGCTATATCAGGTATGTAACATAGTGATGCAAAGCTAACACAATATTGTCTTCACCTTTACAGACCTCATAGTTTAATATAACAAACAAACTAGTAAATAATATAGTATGTAAGTGATAAAAAGAACTACATGTGATTCAATATAGCTGTGAATCACCACATTTTCAAAATCAATGATCAGAAGGCTGTGTTAGAGTTGAGAGACTGTACAATGTGGAAATAATACTTTCTATTTTCCCCATGATTACTTTTGAGACTGTTGAGAAAGAGACAAGTATGGTAAACTTATATATTATCTTAGGAACTTTTCTCATTGCTGGGAAAAAATACCTAACACCCAAAGTTAAAGAAGGAAAGACTTATATCAGCTCAAAATTTGTAAAGGTTTCAGTCCATAGTAGGCTGGCTCCAAGGTAAGGTGGCATGACAGAGGGGCATCACAGAAAAGACAGAGCTCATGCTATGGTGTCAGGAAGCAGAGAGGGATCAAGGAAGAGAAAGGAGATATTCTCTTCCAGGTCTTGCCCATGGTGACTCACCTCCTCCAACCAGGCTTCACCCCTAAACATCACATTTAGCTATAAACTTATTGTTGGACTAATCTACTGATGAGTACCTCGACCCCATATTCCAGTCACCTCCCCAAAACTCCATCTATGAGCACATGAGACTTTGGAGACATCTAGATATAAAACATAACAGTAATATTTATAAAAATATTAACAGTAGTCATTTGAGGATAAAATTAATCATGACTTTTGTTTTCCTCATTTTGCTCATGTATATTTTCTAAATCTTTAACTTTTATATGCTTTATGTAAGCCCAATTTGACATCATTAGAATTTTTTTTTTTGCAAATTGGAAGGAAATGAAGAGATGGAAGGAGAGGGGGAATGTATAAAGAGTTATGATGATTGTGTTCCAACTTCCTATGAGGAATGTAATCATTGCATACTGCAAATATGTAGTAATAAAAGTAAAAATGTAAATTTTTTTAAAGAAAGGTGAGTAGAATTACTTACCCTAAACCAAGCAACTGACAAACTTCATTTGAATTCTGGGTGGTCCAGTTCTCAGCACATGCTGCATGCCAAATGCTCTGGATTCTGAACTGCACCAGCCCATTGTTGTTCATGGTGCCATTGAAAAGACGCACTAAAGATGCAATAGTAGAATAGTGGTTACCAGGCTGTAGGGTAGGGAAGATGAGAACTTAATCAAAGGCACAAAATTTTATGAATTTCACAGCATGATGTCACTAGTTAATGATAATATTAACTACTGTATATTTTAACCGTAAGAAAATAATTTCCAAATTTCATAACAAACTGATATATCTGAATTTATGGACAAATATTTGATTTAATCATTCTACATTGTATATGTTTATCATACATCACCCTATACCCCATATATATACATAACTATATTTTTAATTTAAATGATAATTTTGAATTTATTGAAATTTAAATAAAATTTAAGAAGTAACTGACACATATACAGATGCATTAAAGACATTAGATCATGCCCAGAGTCATTTTGACCTAGGCTAATAGGAGTAATTGACAATCTAAACAAAACATGCAATATTATTAATATTTAGAGTATAGTGATAGTAATTTTTAAGAAAGTGTTAGAAGACATAAGTTGAAAAACATAAATTGAGTAGATTTAATTTCTATCTTTCATGTAACTGTAACAACATAAAAGAGAGATATGCCAATTCATTGCATGTTAACACAACAAATAAACAGAAATAAAGTTATGTGTAAAGAACATAGTATATAAACTTAGTCCACAATGGGTCAGTGGTTCTACTGCCTGCCTTGCAAGCGAAAGGTCCTGAGTTCGATCCCCGGTACCGAAAAAACAACAACGACAAAAACTTGGTCCACAAGAAGAGGAAAGTTTAACTTTTTAATTAAGGAAAACAAGTTCAGAAAAACAAACAAACAAATCTTTAGGCATGTATTCCTACTTATTTCTTCAGATAGTCTTTCTTTTTGATATTTGGTTTCCCACTGTCTTACAAACATTTGGGTTAGAATGCTAAGGCTATTTTTCTCTAGATAGGAAATGTAGCAAAATAAGGTAGAATCAAACAAAGAAAACATCAGCAATGGTAGTCTAGTTATTTGCAACTACTATACTAAAATTATTGTTTACATTTCAGCCTTTTATGAAAATACTTAGGCTACTGGCTAGAATTAGACAGACATAGTTTCAAAATATAGCTTCAGCTTTTACAAGATGTGTGATCTTTGCAGTCATTTAACTTCCCCAAAAGGCAGTTTATTCATGGCCAAAATAAAGCTACTTCTGTTTTAGAATTGTTTTATAGTATTTAATTACAGTGCATGACATATCATATGTAAGCACTGAATATTTTCTTAGAAATAAAAATAAGACATAGTAAAAGAATATATTTCTCATATTGGTATAGGAATCAGAAAGGAAGACCAGAATGAAACTCAAGGAAGCAGGAGGAAGTCTGAAGAGCGAAGAATGAAATGACCATGTCTAGGGAAGTCAGTTATAAATAAGCATGTAGGTGTCTCAGAACACAGTAGTCAATATGAGTGGTGCCACAGTTCTTGATCTGAGTTAGTGCCTCCTGTGGTAGTTTAAGTTTACATCATGAATACTGGCTGTCCTAGACTTACACTTACTAAATGCAACAATTTTAAACAAACAAACAAACAAAACATAGAGCCTGAATGTTAACTCTCCTTCTAACCAGAGAGGTACAAAATTGCTGAAATCATTGAGAAGATGTTCACGTTCAAAATGCCAAAATACATTATTGTAAACACACAAGTAATCTTTGTTTCACAAATTTGTTGAATCCAAC